TTCAAGCTGACATCTTTGTTCTTCAATACTTTAAAAAGGTCTTGTGCAGCTGATTTGCCTAAGGCAATAAGTCACTTGATTTCTTGACTACTGCTTCTGTGAGTGTCTATAGTTGATCCAAGAAGAATGTAGTCCTTAAGAACTTCAATCTTTTCTATTTATAAGAAGGTTGTTTATTGGTCCAGTGGTGAGGATTTTTGTTTTCTTGACATTGAGATGCAATCCATACTGAAGGCTGTGGTCTTTGAACTTCATCGGTAAATATTTTAAGTCCTCTTCACTTTCAGCAAGCAAGGTTGTGTCATCTACATACCACAGGTTGTTAATGAGTCTTCCTCCAATCCTTATGCCACCTTTTTCTTCTTGGCTTATTTGCTCAGCATACAGGTTGAATAAGTATGGTAAAAGAATATAACCCTGTCACACACCTTTCTTAATTTTAAACCATTCAGTGTACCATGTTCTTTTTGAACAACTTCCTCTTGGTCCATGTACAGATTCCCCATGAGCATAATTAAGTGTTCTGGGAATACTCATACTTTGCAATGTTGTCCATAGTGTGTCATGATCCACACAATCAAAAGCCTTTGAATAGTCAAAAAAGCACGGGTAAACATGCCTCCAAAAAAAATCACTAAGACATATCATTATCAAACTATCAAAAATGAAAGATAAGGAAAGAATCCTGAAAGCAGCTAGGAAAAAAAGGAATGTTACCTACTGAGGGAAGCCAATAAGGTTGAGCTCTAATTTCTCAGCAGAAACCATGCAAAGAAGAAGGCATTGGGAAGACATATACAAAACTCTAAAAGTAAAAAAACTACCAACCAAGAAGCATATACCCAGCTCAATTGTCCATCAAATATGACAGCAAAATTAGAACATTTCATGCTAAACAGAAATTAAAGAATTTTGTAAAAGCCAAGCCAGCACTTCAAAACATACTAAAGGGAGTTCTTTGGACTGAGAACCAACAATATCAGACAACAACCAGAAATTGACATATGAAAGGGCCACACCCTCTTGACCTCAATCTAGATAAGGAGAAGTCCAGAACATAGCAAAACTACAAGGCTTAAAACAGGGATATAGGATATCAGTATACGATCAGGACAACTAAAAAGCAAAGTATGGGAAAAGTATAGTTATAGAGATCCAGGTGGTGAGGAGGTCATGGTAGAACAGACTGCTTTATTCATTGTCTGATTTTCACACAAGTCTGAGGCTATTGAATATACCATGTCTTGCATCAGGCATACCTTAGACCTCAAACTGACATCTTTGCTCTTTAACACTTTAAAACAATACATCGTTTGATATCTTGACTGATGCATACATAAGTATTGATTGTGGATTGAAGCCAAGTGAAGTCTTTGACAACTTCAGTCTTTTCTCCATTTATCATGATGTTATTTATTGGCCCAATGGTCAGGATGTTTGTTTTCTTTATATTGAGGTGCAACCCATATATACCATATATTACTGAAGGCAGTAATCTTTGATCTTCATTGGTAAATATTGTAAGTCCTCTTCACTTTCATTAAGTAAAGGAGCTCTGGTAGCGTAGTGGTTACGAATCGGGCTGCGAACCTTAAGGTCAGCGGTTCGAAACTACCAGCCGCTCCGCGGAAGAAAGATGAGGCTTTCTACTCCCGTAAAGATTTACACCCTTGGAAACCCTGTACAGGGTCGCTATGGGTCGGAACTGACTCGATGGCACTTAACAACAACAACAACATATTATCTGCATATCACAGGTTATTAATGAGTCTACTTCCAACCCTGATATCCTATTCCTCTTCTTATAATCTTCCTATTCAGATTATTTCTCAGCATACAGATTGAGTAAGTATGGTGAAAGGATACAACCCTGGTGCACACCTTTCCTGATTTTGAACTATTCTGTATCTCCTTGTTCTCTTCTAATGACTGCCTCTTGATCTATGTACATGTTCCTCATAAACACAATAAAGTGTATGGAATACCCTTTCAACAATATCAACCATAGTTTGTAATGATCCAAGCAGTTGAGAACCTTTGCATAGTCCAGAAGGCACAAGTAAACATCCTTCTGGTATTCTCTATTTTCAGCCAAGATCCTTCTGGAATTTGCTATGTTATCCCTTGTTCCACATTCTCTTCTGAATCCAGCGTGAATTTCTGGAAGTTACCTGATGATGTACTATTGCAACCATTTTTTAATTATCTTAACAATTAACTTAAAAATTATGGAGAGTAGTTGGAGGGAACTGGATCAGAGACAAATAACGGTGACATAAAAGGAGAAAAAATGATTATATATAAAATGGCTGCCTTGACCATGCATATTGCAGAATAAGTACCTACATCCCATTCTCAGGGTCAATGTTAGGTACAAATCAGGAGGAATTCTATCCATGTTTTTTTAGTTTATTCCAGCACTGGTGATTGGACGGAACCTCCAGACCCAATGGACCCCAGGACTAGGATAAAATGGGAGGCTCACACTCCTGGTCTCCATTTAAATGTTGGAAGCTTAGATAGTCTGAGGCTTGATTTGATCCTCTGCCCTTGCTGTCTCCTCAAGGGGCTGGACTAGGCCAAGGGGATTGTTGTTGTCAGGTGCTGCTAAGTTGATTTTGACTAATAGTGATCTCATATGACAGAAAATAACTGCCCAAGATGTTTTCTAGACTATATGTAAAAGATTGACATGTCTTTTCTTCCATGGAGCCACTGAGTTAATTCAGGTAGTCAACCTTTCATTTAGCTTCCAAGCACTCAACTGATAATTCCACCAGGAATCCTTGCCAAGGGAATCAGGGCCCAAAAACATGACCGCAATAACAATAAAGCTTGTATGTCTACTTTATACTTTTACCATTTTAAGAAGTACGACACTATGCAGGGTCATTAAGAATCTGAACCAACTCAATGGCACTGAATAACAACAACAAAATATTTCAAACCTATAACACAGGGAGAAATTGTTACATTCATTTAAGAAATATGTAAGTTCAGAGTATTATATGAGGGGGCTTCAAAAGTTCCTGGAAAAATTCCATCATCTCTTTATTCAATTTTATATGAACTTTTTGAAGTTCTTTCATAAATCATTGGTTGAAGGACAAAGCAGAGGTGGAAAGGTCAGCTAAAGAATCCAGATTTTTGAACATTTGATCAAATTCTCTTTTCCATGTTTATTTTACTTCATAAAATGGCATCAAGATAACAGCTATACTTATCTGAATAAAAATGGTCAATAATCACTTTAAAATAAATATGAGAATATAAGGGTACAGGGAGACTGAATTAATGGAAATGGAATAACCAGAATGGAAAAACTAAGAATGCTCGTACATTATGAAGAACATAACCAGCGTCACTGAACAACTTATATAGAAATTGTTGAATGGAAACCTAAACTGTTGTGTAAATCTGATCAAAAACATACTCAAAAAATGTTTTTAAATAAAAATCAAAGTCTATAATTAATAAGACAGCCTTCAAAAAGCATCATCTCAAATGTCAAGGGAATTTCAAAGTTTATGTATTCCTTCCAAATAGTTTTTGTTTGCTTTTTTCTCCAAGAGAAATGGACAATTTGGACATGAGGCAGTATGGCCTCAATGTCTGACTCAAGTTTAATTTTCATTTCTAATGATTACAAATAAAAGAAAACATTTTCAATTTAGATTTTAAAGTTTATGGGATGAGCTACCTTGGGTAATTTATTCTGTTAACATTTGAAAAATAAACAGGGGTGGGAGAAGGTTCAAATACAGACTGTACAAATTATTTTGGGGTTAGTTGAGACTTTGAGGATGATCACAGTATAACAATAAATACAGAACTTCTTCCTGTACCCTGAAAACACTAGCAAAGCTAGTAATAGAAACAGCAGTAACTGTGATGTGAAAATCTACCCTCTGTATCCAGGACATGTTTAAATTGAGAATAATCTTTGAATACATTTTACTCATTTTTAAACAAATGGGAAGATAACGGTAATTAGAACTCATTGCAATGATCCCTGGTGGAACTGTGGCTGGTGACTGAAAGGTTGGCAGTACCAAACCCACCAGGCACTCCAGGGGAGAAAGAAAAGGCTGTCTGCTCCCTTGCAAAAAAAACATGGAGACCAAGTCTAACTTCCTCTGGTTTCACAAGTGGGAATAATAATACAACTCAAAATCACCTAAAGCTGATTCCTCAGTGTCCAAAAGGTACATTCTGAAAGACAGCCTTCTGTCAGTAGGCATTTAACTTTACTCCATCCATTGACCCAGAAGCCAGTGCCTCTGCTATCACCGCTTTTCCAGGTAGGGATCTCCCAGTCTCTCTGCTCATGCTCTTCTTATTGTTCTGGCATCATTTGTCTCTGCTTCTTTGATGGCACCTTTTAGACTTAGTGGAATGGTAAAACTAACCAGTCCTTGCATTAGAGTCCTGCACACCCTATTTGCATGGTGTCACCCAATCATTTGGTGGGAATTAAGAAGAATTTGAATAGAAAGGCCATATCAAGTAAATCCAAGGTACTGTATCCCATACAAATTTACAGTGTCAGAAATCCTATATAGGGTCATTTCTAAGAATTGGAATTTAGTCGATGGCAGTGGACTTTATTTTGGTTTTTACTTATGGAAAATGTTGATGAAGGTTAGAGTGTTCAGTCTTTATAGGAGTTATGTTATTTCACTCTGAAGTTGTCTTACCCATTCAATGGATCTAGGGTTTTTTACATAGTGTATTTCAGCTTAATTAATGAATAGTTAAAACAGAAGTTAGTTTTTATGCTGAACTCATCTGATAAGGATAGGATAAAGCACTGGACTTCAAGTTCAGTTTGTTGAACCACAAGGTAATTCAAGCTCACCAGCCGCTCATCGGAAACCCTATATAGGGTTGTTATGAGTTGGAACCGACTTGATGGCACTTAACAAACAACAATCATGCCAGAAGTCCTGATGTGCTGGTGTAGGATAAGCACTGGACTACTATCCACAAGGTTGGTGATTCAAACCCACCAGCCACTCCTTGGAAACCCGATTCAAAGCAACTGACTTGGAACCAGCTTGAAGGCACTTAACAACAACAACCATGTCAAAAGAGATAAAAAAACAAGCAGCTCTTAAACTCTTTGTTACCATTAAGGTTCAGTGATGAAAATAAATGTATAAAATTGCTTTTTAAATCCTTAAAGAAGCTTCATATGACCTGTTGAGAGAGACCAGACAACATTCCTTACTTGAAAACTGCACACGTCAAAAACAATCTTCATAGAATTATCATAACTCCACAGAGAAGACTTTTCTAATTTTTGGAATGTGAGTCCTGGAGTGGAGCTGTGGGTTAATGCTCTGGACTGCAAAGTCAGTTGAAGCCACAAGGTCAGCAGTTCAAGCCCACCAGCTGCTCCTGGGAAACCCTATGCAGGGTGGCTATAGGTTGGAACGGCTTCAACGGTACTTAACAACAACATTATTTGTGTGACCATATATAGGAGGGGACCTCAAAAATTCGTGGAAAAAATTCCATTATCTTTTAGTTTCATTTTTCCACATTCTGCACCCCATTTGTGCTTATAACTATATGTATGTATGTTTATAAATAAGTACATCCTCTGGAGAGTCATTACAAATATTCTAGTGGCATTGATTTCTTTTCCCTGTGGTCCACAGATATTGTATGTAATCACTGGATTTGTCTGTACTCATAAGTCTGTTGCACTGGAAAGAGCAGTAATTATTTTACTTTATGTAACCAAAAGCATTGTCTGTTCAACATTAGGAACATGTCTTCCATTTGATGTTTGTTTAAAATCGGTGAAGTTAAAATCTTACCATCCAAGCTGTGACAAAGTCCCCCATCCAGGTCCCTACTGCAGCTAATTTCATGAAACTTTCATTTCGGATGCCCATGTAGTCTGTAATGATGTATGCTCTGTGGAAACAAACACATAAGACATTGTCCAGACTTAGAGAGCCACATAGTTAAAGCATTCTGATTCAGCAGCATGCAAAGGGACTTTCCTCCCTCTCAACAAACATTTTTTGCTTTTGTCTCATCACAAATGCTTACAAATCTAAAAGGCTAAGAAGAGCTCTGAGGCTGTCTGGGTCAGTTCCAATTAGATTTGAAGATTGAATGTGGCTACACCAATTACCATGTATGTTTCATTTTTGAGCTGTAAGACTGATAACAGCTTTTGGAAAATCAAAAAGAAATACTCAGAAAAGGCTACATTTCATGCTCACTCAAGTATGAGCAAAGTGGAACTATTTCTTGAATTAGAGTCACTTGAAAGGGAAAAGAAGAGCTAACTTTCTCTCAGTTCTGTCAAGCCAAAACTATTGAAAAAGTACTGGGACTAGGCTTTTAGATAGAATATCATATTTAAATATTGCTCAGAATAATGTCAGTATTTGAGAAAAAATTTCCACACAGTGAAGCAATATCAAATTTAATTCACATATATGTGGTTTAAATCATTATTTAATAACAATAACTGGGAGATTTATCATTTCCTTTTTGCATAGCAAATTCTTGTTTGCTTGTTTAATACTGATATATTTTCTGTACAGCTCAAATACAGTCAGGAGGGGATGTTTAGCAGGCCAGGAAATACCAATGATAAGACCAGGGCTACTGCTTACTAATGATTTTTATTTTCTCATTTGACATTCAAGGAAACCCTAAATGTCATTTTTACCATCACAATTTTTTCTGAGAAAGTTGGACCTCAGGTAGATCACCTAACTTGTCCATGAAACTAATGAATGGTGCTTAGGAATCAACATTTCTTCTCCTTTTTTTACTTAACTCCAGTTATTTTATTCCTTTTTTTTTTTTTAGTTTAAATGCTGTTCCTTTTCTCATACATAATGATGCCTTTATAATTTTGAGTATTAGCTAAACTCCATCCTTCCTAGATAACTTTAATACAACCTACTATAAATAATGGTATTTTCTTTATTCATCTACTAAAACTATGAATAAGCACATTAATGAAGAAACCATCTCCAGCTGAGTTTTTTTTTAATTGTTTCAGATAGTTTGTTAATTGTAAGATAAAAACATATTTAAATAGTTTTATTTAGCAACAAAATCAAATTTATGAACTCCTTAAACAATTATTTCTCTACAAGATCATTCACCTCATTGGAAATTCTGTTATCTTCAAGGCCTTACCCCAAAATTCTGAGTCTCTCATTCAGAGTCCTGGTGTGGCACTGTAGAACGAACACTGGACTACAAGTCAGTTTGAACAGAAAGTTTGGTGTTCAAACTCACCAGCTGCTCCTTGGAAACTCTATACAACTGTACTTTGCACAACAATTCCAAAGGCTTCAGTAATAGGCCAAAATTTTATTTCTTGTTTTTGTTAAGTGCCATAGAGTCAGTTCTGACCCATGTCAACCCTGTATACAGTTTCTGAGGAGTGGCTGGTGAGCTTGAACCACCGAATTTGAGGTTCAAACTGACTTTTAAATCCAGCACATTAATCCACAGTGCCACACCCACACACTTACAATATACCATGGATTGATGTTTACAACGTGACTTGCACTTTAAGAACAGTGTCTCCATCAACTCTCTTATTAACAAAATGAAATGTAGTATTATCCCTATTTCACAAATATGGAAGTGTGGTTTTGCAGAGTTTACAAAGTCAAGCATATAATAAATGGATAACATTTTAATCCAAATCTGATTGACTCCAAAATCAAGCATTTAAACACTGTTCTTTATCTTCTTCCTATAAATGCTAGTAGAGATATGAAAACCACAGTGTCTACATTGTATTTTACTAGACAATGCAGACAAAGGTGTATTTCCTTTGAGGATAATTCATAAGTCAACAGTTGCATCCAGAGGCTGTAGCTCCATAGAGCTGCCTCAAAGTTTGTACTACTACTCATATTGATGGTTCATCAATCAAAGCAGCAACCTACTTAAAAGTTCCCAGATTAATGTGATGAACAGTTAGTCACTATCAGTACAAGTCTTAACTTCAGTACCACTGTCACTGAACTGCTCCTGAACAAAGATAATTAATTGTACAGCTCTTTCGATGACACGCATTTTGAAGAATCTGTTCAATGCCAAGGTCCTACCTGGTAACTTTTCAAATTAGTTATAGAACACATGTGGTAGAGTAGAAATGTCAGGGTATATTCCATATGATTGTATTAACATGTGTAAGAGATAGCACCAAACTTTTATTTTAGTATTTAAAAATAGAAGTGGTATGGGTAAGCTTGCAACATCAGTGATGCAGTCAAGAAAAAGCATTTCTAAGCTATAGAAATTACCAAAAAAATAATTGTTTAGAGACATCGGAGAGCTCATGAGGCAGGAAGGATTAGAGAGGTCAAGGTACTAAATAAAAAAGCTTAACTGCTTTTTCTATGGAGATGTTGCAAGACCAGAAGATAAGAACCTGATCTTTGCCTAGGCAGAGGTCAGTTTTAATGGACTGAAGAGATCACATTGGAAACTTAAGGAGGCAAGATCCTAGCGAAAGGAAAAATCCAGAAGGGAACATGACGCACAGTTGGCTTATTTACCAAACTCTGACCTTGTGCAAGAGGGAGGTTAAAGAACTGAGCAGAAAGTCTCTGAAGGGCAGAGTGAAGGTTTGCAGCTTCACTGTGATGAGAAAACAATTACAGTTCAGAATCTGCCAGATGTAGCCCAGGAAAAAATGGAGTTATGCAGGGAGATACTCTAAAAGCAGAACAAACCAGAGATGGATGAAACCTTGGCAAGACTAACATAAGCCTTTACCCAGTTGATCCAGGACTGGATCAACGTGATCAGCTTTCACTGTTTACCCTCAACAGAGGAGAGGGTGAACCATTTCTGGAAGAATATGATTATCATCCGAGTCTTCTACATATTTTATACATGACATCCTACAGTCATTCAAAAGTGACCAGGATATTAAGGTACAGGGCCATATCACTGAAAACCAACAGAAAACACAATATCTAAAATGAGTCAATAAATTGCATGAACAGAGGGGGCTATTTTTGCTAATTTGTTCACTGTTGAACCCACAACACCTAGAACACTTCCTGTATATAATAATTTATCAATAGACATTTGTTTAATCTATGAATGACTAAAGTGGGACAAATTATTCATATTCATTCTTATGTGACATGGGTAGACTGATGCTTATATAAAATCCTAGAAACAGCAATAAAACGAGATTGAATTACTGAAGATTTTACTACAAAGGGAGACAAGAATAATATTTTAAATTGCTTTGTTTGCTTTATTTTCTTCAACTACATTCCCTTGACTGCAGCATGTTGTTGTTAAATGCCATGGAGTCAATTTTGGCTCATAGCGACTCTGTATAGGATTTCTGAGGAGTGGCTGGTGAGCTTGTATCACTGACTTTGCCATCCAGCGCATTAACCCACAGTGTTAATACCAGTCCTTTACTCATATACATCAGGATGACATTTTAAAAACTTTCCTCCTTCTCCATGGCTGCAAAATATAGGAATTAATAGATGTCATGATAACAGTGCAGACAGGATGGCATGGATAATTTATGAAATTACTAATATATTTAAAGAAATTTCCCAGGTGAAGAATGGCAATAAAGAGTGATATTTTGGATGAATAAGAGGAAATATTACAAATATGCAAAGCACTCAGCAAAAAAAAAAATCAGATTTGGTTGATTAGTTTGCATTTCCATTAACATTAATTTCAGTATTTTCTACTCATGTTATAAAGGACAAAGTCTGCATACATTTATATCAGCTATTTTGTTGTTGTTTTGGGGTGCCATCAAGTCGGTTCCAACTCATAGTGACCCTGTGCACAATAGAAGAAAACACTGCCAGGTTTTGTGCCACCCTCACAGTTGTTGTCATGCTTGAGCCCATATCTGCCGTCACTCTTTCAATCCATCTTCTTGGGGGTCTTCCTCTTTTTCACTGACCCTCCACTTTACCAGTTTAAATATCACATTGAACCCTATCAAAATTGAATAGTGGAGCTTTGCACTCAATGGTTTTTAGGAAGTCAGTGATTTAGAACTATATTTTGACAGGAGGCACCTCTAAAGTTGTACTTTTGCTTATTTCAACTATTCATAGATCATTTGTTCGTTTCATTTGTATTTTAGCTAGTTATTTCCACTATGCATAGTTCTTCTAGTCTTCCAGGTAAATTGACCATTGAGATAGTCTCTACCTTTAGAGATACTAAGTAATTCCTTTTTTTTTCAGACTGTAATTTCATTTTATTTTGTCTTGATATTTCAAGTGTAACCATCTAATTCATAAGAAAATGTGTGGGAAATCCAAAATACAGTAAATAACAAAGGCTCATAACTATCAAAGAGCCTGTAAAGATATGCTATCAAGACTCTCATATCTAGTGAAACCTATGTGCTAAATGATCCTAATCTAAACAAACTCTAACAAGGGCTAAACTGTCAATAAAACTATCACATAATGAATTTACTAACAATTGAATGTCTTCATTGTTAACAACCAAAGTTCCAATACACTTGAGTCTATTATTCATATAAAAGTGGATATAGTCAAAACCAGGTGATTTAGGGGTTGAGTCTTTCCATAAGTTGAAACAGAAGGCAGTAAACATAAATCACCAAACCAATATGGATTCATGCTTCACTAAAAATCTATTTGTGGCCAGCTGGATTCATAATGTTACAGCTGTCTCCCCCAGTCATTTATGGGCAAAATTAACAAGACAGGGGGCCTCATACACAAGTAAATCATGGATAAGGAATTGAATTAACATGACTACAAGCCTCCATTAAACTAAGACAAAAGAAAAAAGAAAAAAAATTGTAAGTGCTCCTAAGACAATTAAGTTGAAAAAAAGACAGTACAAACTGTCAGGAATTAAACCTAAAATCATTATATTATCATTTTCTCAATCTGTGTCTA